CACACACACACACACACACACACACACACACACACACACACACAAATTGATTAGAACACCCACAGTTTCTTACCATTGAAGACCTCATTAAACTCTCCAGGAGGAGCATGGGTAACAAAGTTGGCTGCTATGCGAACCTGCAGAAGCAATTCAATGCAACAAATTAATGTTGTTATTATTGAACTAACACAAGACCATGGCTAGTATGCAAGAAGTTAGACACWGCTTATCAAGTAAAACAAAAATGTTCAAAATTATGTTTCCTCTCAGAAAGTTTGAATTCTGGTGCATGTCTTGGTTTTGTGATCTGACCTTTCCCCCTGATTAAGTTGCAAGCCATAACATGACATCTCTTTTTGCTCATACAGGTAAGGAACATTTATACTTGATTAAAAAACACAATAAACAATTAGAAAAGCAGTAATGATGTAAAAAAATTAACACAATGATAGTTTGTTGCCAAATAGTTATGTGTATATACAATTTAACTGAAAAAGTGTCTTTACCCGTGTAGTGTAAATGTTTAAACTGTTGATTAAACAGAACTATGACATCATGTGCTTTAGAAGTCCCACTTTATTTTTTAATACCAGTTTTCTGATAATTTATTTAGCAAACCGCTGTTCGATTTATAAATATTCGGGAGAGTAAACAATCAAATTGCATGACTCAGYAAGTTGATTATTACTTTAGTTTTAATATTAACAGGACATTTCTACAATGAGAATTGTTTCCATTGTGTTACTTATATGGAACAGACACAAAACGAGAAGTAGGTTGTATGAACAGTAATAAATCTTTATGGTGTCAGTTGTTAACTTCTCCATACAAGATCAGCAGACCAGTGAGTACAGATGTCGATTGATGTTATCGGGGGAATGTTGCCTTACTTGCTTTTACCTTTATTTAGCTGGTATTACTTGTTTTATTTGTGTTCACGTACACGGCAGAAACACAGTTCGCTTATTTATACTTGTCATCTGAGTGCTTTGCATTGCCACTGGTTCAATGTAGACTGTCGTTGCGAACCTCGAGCTAAACTGAAGGCTCATGATGTACTGATTCTAGGTCCAGAAAACTATTTGAGCTGCAACCGAATCTGTTTGACCCAGAAAAGCAAAGTAACATTAGCCGCTAATGTGTTAGCCACATTTTGAGTGGGGGAAACTTTCCATTTTGTATAATTCGGAAAAATGGCATTACAGMACAGCTTAGCCGTATAAATGCCTTTAATAAATCATTAACAAGTGTCCGCGGCATCCAAACAGTGATCCAAATTTCCCATCTGATATCGCTGCCGTCATATTAGACTACCGAGCTAGTTAGCTAATGGTAACTTAAACACAAGTTTATCATTTAAGTAGGCCACCAAAACCTTTCACAATCTTTCCAGTTAATAATATTTACTGCACATTAACACGAAACACAATTATCCCTGTATAAATCAGATAAATTGTTAATGAACAAAGACTTCAAACCTTCTCTTCATCTGACAGCGGCTCCTCAAAGTCAGCCATCTTGGCTCTGTGTGAACCCACCTACTACAGCTGACTGAGATCCGCTGCTACGTCGTCATTTACAAACATGAACGTAATAAAGTTATTACCTTGTATAAATGCACAATCATGTGCACTTTACTGTTTTTATATAAAATAATAAATAAATAAATTCTAAACGATATATTTTTTACAAAAAGGGCGTTAGCGGATCTGTGCTAGCGAATAGCCTACTTCCGGTGGGGTGTTTAACACCTACAAAATAAAAGTAATCTCTAACAATACGGTCGTAAATATTAATCCTAAACAGTGAAACTAACTTGAAATTGTCTACTTATGTTAAAAATGATTTGTATCTAACATTATGACCAACATTGTTTTTTTACACTGGCTTAACCAAAATATTTTGGAGAAGTTATTTTATTTTGAAATCAGGAAGATTGAGGGAATCCTGGATTTTTTTGTCCCCCTCAACTTTCCTCTGGAACATTTGTTCCATTGTGGACTCAACTGGAGACTAGCAACACAACATGGGGTCACGGGTATGATAAACCGTATGACGAGTATTATTGACATATTTTTGTACTAGTGCAAATTTGGCTTTTCTATCTCAACTACGTTGTGACATTTTAGGAAACAAACTAGTTCCAGGCGGAAGTTCCTGGTCAGATAGATTAAACTGCCCGACGTCAAATGCCCCTGTTGATTTGATCGGTTGCTTTGTTCACGAGCAGCTACTATTTTTATTGCTATGCATAAAAACATATACAATCTATATTTACAAACTGTTCTCTGTTTTTTGTGTCTGAACTGTGTTTACCCCACAAACCTTCTCTGGGTTGGCTAGTTTCCTAGCTAAAAAAGAATGAATAAAGCATTGTTCGTTGTTAAACAGTTTGTCTCACTGAGACGCAGTTATTCTTTTGCTGTCTGTCAGGTGATGACCAGACCGGAGGATATCGCCAAACTCTACCGAGAGCTCAGCCTCTTCCCATCTCTGAGCAGAGCAGACGTAGGACCTGTCATCACCTCTCAGTATGGAGGCAAATACAGCAACATCTACACAGGTAGACCTTGATCATTCCTGTCTCTCTAAAGTGCTCTGATCTCTGTATGGTCAATGTATTTCTAGCATTTTCCCTTGCTTTCATCTGCAGAATGGAGCCAGCGTGATCTGGAGAGGAACGAGAATGTCAAGTTTTGCAGACAGTATATTGTATTCCAYGATGACAAGTCTGTGGTCTTCTCTGGAGCKTCTGGAAACTGCACTGAAATCAAAGGAGAGTAWGTACAAACCACTTCCACTATTTTTTTTCTATATCAGCCTATCTTTGAGCGATCTGAGCTATGTCTCCTTTTAGCTGGTCGAGGCAGATGGCTGCCTGTCCTGAGCCTGGTTCTGCTGGAGGTTTATTCCTGATTAGTAGGGAGTTTTTCCCTCTACACCATTTGCTCAGGATGGGAGACTGCGATGAAGTGATTCAGCACAACCTGCTGGCTTCTTCTTTAGATTGTTTTTTTTTTTTTCATGTACAGTGCCCTGAGACAACGTATGTTGTGACTTGGCGCTATATAAATAATATGAATTGAATTAAATTGAAAAATAGAATTTTAATTATTTATTTTTTTAAATTATTTATCTCAGGGTTCTGAGTAAGGACTCTCCATCTGGTGAGATGAAGGCAGTTGTTAGAGAATGCACAATCAAAGGAGAAGAGAAGCAGTTTTTGGAGGTGTGTTACTTTGCAACACCTTGTTTTYATCACATTTTTTGTCTRGATTTTTACTTTGATGCTTTRTTACACATGTATAATTCATTTTTCTGACTTAATGACAGATGAAATTTTCATTTGAAGATCTTTGGCTTTTCTTCGCAATTTAATGCCTTTCAGATCTGGAGTAAAAACATAAAGATGAAGAGCATAAATCTGACAGCCTTAAAGAAGCACGGCAAAGTCTATGAAGATGGTAAGTCTTAATTTCCCCCTTTCTTTCAGTTTATTTGGAAGTTTTCTCCTACACCGGTTTGTGTTTACATCCTCAGAGCAGTTTGGCAGCTTGGTTTGGTCTCACTCTGAGACACACCTCCTGTATGTGGCAGAGAAAAAAAGACCCAAGGCTGAATCTTACTTCCAGGTGTGTCTGCAGAATTAGTTTTGACAGGAAATACCACTGATTTTTACAGGAATACACTGCTGTTTTAGTAGACGTAACAAATCATAAACATCTAACAGCTATTTTCTTGGATAACGGTGTTGGTTTTCATTTACTGGTATTCATCTTCTTTAACATTCAAACCTTTTTTAAAAGTCCTGTTTAAGGCATTTTAAAGGTGACTTCGTGCTGGTAAAAATAGTTATCAGATCAAAAATAAATTGTAATCTTACTAAATTTGCTTCTGTTTTAAAGAAATCTCATGTGTTTTGCTTCATGTTTTACAAGCAGCAATCCATAACAGCACTTATTTTACAATACCGAGTGAAACATTTATGCATATTTGTCCCTGTCATAACATACTGTATATGGCCAATAGCTTTCTGTTGCCACTCTTTTTATTTATTTTTTCCTTTTGCAGACGGAGTTACCAGAATTGTCTTCAATTGAAGACGAAGAGGAGACCATCAAGGTGGAGAAAAAGGAGACTGCAAAAGTAAATGCGGTTTAATTTGATTAAAAAAAAATACAAAGAATTGTAAAATTGATTTTTCAAATTACATTTTATATTAAGATATAATTGTGTTTTTTCATTTTAATTCCTGCAGGGGGAGCAGTTTGCCTACCATGAGGACTGGGGAGAGGCCTTGGTTAGTAAGAGCCTTCCAGAGCTTTGTGTTTTGGACATTGAGGGGGACAACGTCTCTGTGTTGGAAGGAGTGCCTGATGATATCTCACCTGGACAGGTTGGTACAGCAGTGGCAGGAATGTTGAGCTTTGTTTTCATGCTTATGTACTTTTTGCTTGATTAGTTTCGGTTGCATTTTGTTTGTATCTCTGCAGGCATTTTGGGCTCCAGGTGACACAGGTGTGGTCTTTGTAGGCTGGTGGCACGAGCCCTTCAGACTTGGCCTYMAGYWMWGCCCCAATCGAAGGTGCTTCTACATTACATCGATCAAATATGTCTCAAAAACAGCTGTAGTGTTGCAAATGTCTTAGTAGAYCTATAAGTGTGTTTTTATTTCTCTGACAGGTCCTCGTTGTTTTATGTGGATCTTACTGGTGGTAAATGTGGTAAGTGTTGACTTGTTTTAGCAGCAGGCTAGAAAGTAATGATTTAATACACATCTGGAACTGATTAACTTTTGGAGTTATACAGTTCAAGATTGCCACCAGATGATTCACCTTAGCAAACACATACAGGCCTATTAACCCTTTGCACGTGACGTCACGTGCCTCAGAAGACCGCCCCTTTTTTCCATGATGGATGGCAGAAACAGACATGCGTCCATAAGCTACTATTGAGCTAGAGGAGAATCAGGCAGTTGTTAGCCCAATATCATTCTTCCCCCTGTTGATCGAGCTGTAAAAATGGTCTTCAGCTGCTGCGCAGTCGGCCGGATCTGGAGACTCTCCGATTAACCGGACCGGAGTGTCTCTCCAGTTTCGGACCGCTCCGCTGCTGGTTCTAAAATATTATAATCTCTCCGTCTGCCCACCCGCAGCAGTCCGTGTCATAGTGAAGACATAAATGACAGTGATAGCTGGAAATATAGTTGTTTTTATTCAATGCTGAATCAGTGTTGTTGAGTGAAAGGTCGGAGGAGGAGAACCTTGTATTTTTTTTCCCACGTTGATTGAGTAAACACCAGTAGCGCATTCAGGTGGTCATAAAATCAGACCAGCTGATCATCAAAGCTGTTCATCTTTTTAATTTAACTGGGAATGGATCGTTTCAGCTAAAAATCGAACAGAAAGAAGCGCAGCTCGGAGCGCTGTTGTACCCGGAGCTGGTTAGAAGAGAAGCTACTAGCTTGTTAGCTTGCTAGCCTGCTAGCTGTCGTCAGCTCTAAAAACCATCCATCCGTACAGCTATGAACCAGTCACACAGAGTGGAGAAAGTACTGCTCAAAAAGAAGATCTGATGAAGAAAATAAGTAAAAAAGCATCTCTGACTGGATTCATAAGGTCTGACGCTAACAGTATATCTGCTCAGTCAGATCTCAGGAAGCAGCTAATGTAACATGAGCGTCAGACAGAGGTCGCTTTGAAAAACATCTAGAATCACGGATGGAATCTGCAAATAAAAATACATTAGCATTAACAAGCAAGTCTTACCTTGGCCATTATGAGAACCTAACAAACATGTCCGGAGGGAGAAGATATGGGTCGATTTTTAAGCTAGCTATGTCCAACTTCTGTAAATAAYGCTGTCTGTGAGCCCCAACTAGGTGTATGATTTCTACAGAAAAATTATCTAAACTTGAACAAGTAGAAACCATGGCAAAAACAAAAAAAACAACAACTTCAAAACACAATCGCTGCCATTTAATTCAATACACCGCTTCGTGTCTTCTGCCGTTCGACATGCCGGATGTTATGCTAAAATTTATTGTGATAGCAGATGAGAGTCATTCAAACATGTGGTCTGAGTGATAACAAATCAGACAGAATCTTTGTTCAGTTGTTGCTATTAACCATTGGAATCAACCATATCTGTTTATTAGCAAATTATCTCATCTACCAGTGAAAAGATTTTAAAGTAATCATTGGATGTATTTCTACAAGTGATTCACTTTTGAAGTCAATTCAAGATGTTACAGCAGTTAATTTGTCTTATCAAACACTAAAATGATCATAACTCAGTCAATTTTACAGAKATTAAGCTAAAATGTGATGTAGTMGTAGCTGTGAGTCATTCCCAGCACACAGTCAAAGCATTAATGGGTTTTTAAACATTCCGAATGAGCGAACATGAGATTATTTTCAAGATTTATACAAAACAAAAGAAGGCGGGTGATATAAATTTCTTCAAACCATGCTTGATGTTATTTTCAATGTTTTTTTGTTATTTTTTTCATGGCACTTTTGATGATTTAAAAATGAAATATTGAAATTAGTTTTTTTAATATGAAATTATTTTTTAATTCTCCATAAAAGTGACAAGATTTTCATGTCTGCTTTGTATTATTTTATCTCTTATTATATTTATGGATGTCTCTATACGTAATGTATTATACAGTGAGTTCTTTACGTATATGTATACATATCACCTTATAGTGTTTAATTTTATTTAAATATACCATAGTTTTAGATTTTAATTTAATCTATTTTTTTCTTTTCATTTTAATACTTTAACTTGAGACATGACTACATAATGTTGCTTATTTACATCTTTCTGTGTCGTGTTGTCTCTGTCAGAGCAACTTTCATCAGGCACCAGTGCAGTTTGTTCCCCAAGACTGAGTCCGGACCAGTGCCGGATTGTCTACCTGGAATGTTCTGTTTATGGACCACATCTGCAGTGCAGCAAACTTTGTATGGTGAGATAGAATAGGCTTTAATTTTCTCTTAGTAGTCTCTCTTTGATAAAATTAGGTTTAAATCATTAATAGTCTTTAAATATCCAATATCACTAGCTGTGCTCTTGTCTTACTTTTTTTAGTACGACTGGTACACTAAGAAGACCTCAGTAGTGGTGGATGTTGTTAGTCGACCTAGAGAAGGTRAGAATTTCATATGTTTTTCTTTGGTCATAAAACTCAATGTACACTTTTCACTATTGCGACTGTGTATTTTTGTGGCTTCACAGATGGCTTTACTGGCATCTACAGTTCTCAGCTGTCACCCCAGTGCTGGTCTGCTGATAGTCAGCGTATTATTGTTGCTTGTCCTCAGCGCAGCCGCAAGGTTTGTGCAACTACCAGCAAATAGATGAAAGAAAAAAAAAACTTTTGGCCTACAGGTTTCTGTAAATGTTTATTTGTTTGTGTTTGATCAAATTGAAAAAGTTGATAAAGTTTTTGTTTTTCAGGATCTCTTAGTGGTGGATATAAATACAGGCAGCATCACCTCTCTGACTGCAAGTTAGTCYCTCAGAACACATTATTATTATTGGCAGCTCACAATATTTTTTAATATTATACTCACAGGGTTATGATCTTGTTTGTTGTAGAGTCTGATATTGGTAACTGGWGCTTGCTGAACATAGAGAGAGATCTGATGGTGGTCAGCTGCTCYTCTCCCAACTGTCCTCCATGTCTGGTAAGGTCACTGTTATTGGAAAAAAAGGAAAGGAAACTTTATGTTTTCATTTGGTATGAAACAGTTGTGAAGACTACCACATAAATTGGATATTAGTGAAGAGTTTATTAGGGCTTGAATAATTTTAAAACAAAACTTCATATCATGATAGAGTTTTTGTGTCATAACAGTACATATTTTTTTTCCTTTTGTATGTAGAGAGTGGGTTTCCTTCCAGGCAGAGATTCTCAGGAGGAAGTTGTTTGGGTTACATTGGAAGACTCTCAGTCAATGCCAGAAATTGATTGGCAGATCATGACTTTCACTCCTCCCCCAGAGCAGGAAAACAGTCAATACCGTAAGATTATAATTTTTCATCAGTTCTTACTTTCTCAGAAGTCACAGCTGACACACATGAAATTTGAAGTTTATTTTTTGCTTTATTCAGTCCTATATTTTAGAGGCAGAAGTTAGTTTTGTACTCTTTCTACTGCATTAAGATTTCAATGGTTTCCTTATACCCATAACAATAGCATATTCACAAATTATGTTTACAGTTAATAGTCACCTGGCTACTTGATACAGCGCTATATATAGTTCCCTCCAAAAGTATTGGAACAGCAAGTCAAATTCTCTTGTGTTTGTTGTGCACTGAAGACATTTGGGTTTAAGATCAAAAGATGAGCATGAGACAAGAGGTCAGAATGTTAGCTTTTATTTCCTGGTATTTACATGTAGATGTGTTAAACAACTCGGAACATACCACCCTTTGTTTGAACCCACCCATTTTTCAGTTGCGCAAAACTATTGGAATAAGTGTCACTTATTGATCAAGTGTTGCTGTTTAACATTGATTGTTCAAACATTAACTAGTTCTGCATGACTAGTCTAATCTTTGGCCTGGGTTTAAACCTATAAAGTAGTATTTTTTTTTTAAGGACGATAAATTGACATGAAGACCAGAAAGCTGTCTAAGGGAGATAAGCAAGCCATTTGAAAGCTGAGAAAATAAGGAAAATCAGTCAGAGCTATTAGACAAAGATTGGGCATAACAAGCACAATAATTTGGGATGTCCTGAATAACAAAGAAACTACTGGTGTACTGAGCAAGAGACATCCAACAGGTCATCCAAGGAAAACAACAGTAGTTGATGACAGAAATATCATGAGAGCTGTGAAGAAAAAAAACAAACAAACAAAACATAAGTTTCATCACCAACAACCTCCACAGTGCTGTTTTATTTCTTCAGTTTATGAAAAGAAAAACAATGTTAAATACTATTGGTGCTAACATGTTTCACTGTTTGTTTCTTCTAGCGGGCCTTGATTTTGAAGCTTTGCTGATTAAACCAAAGGAAGTCAAAGACATGAAGCTGCCTTTAATTGTCATCCCACATGGTTTGTTATTTTCAGTATTGTTTTTTTTTATTCAGTTTCTGTTATTTGATTAAAAAAAATAATTATTATATATGTAGTTGAATTTTTTTATACAATGCCAGCCTCATGTTGGACTACAAAAAAAACTTACCATCATCATCAAGTCCTTAATTTTAGTTCAGAGTAGCTGCAGATACATTAACCTTGTTCTGGTTGCTGCGATGATGGTGTAGTAAATTACTGTATATTCTGACATCAAAGCTTAGTTTGGTGTAGAGCTCATAACTCTATCAGTCAATTAAGATTTATCAGAAATGGGGGGAAAAACACAAGCCATTGGCTTAATTCATAACTTATTTTATTTTATTTTTTGCATTAGGTGGTCCTCACTCTGGGTTTGTTGCTGAATGGCTGCTGTCCCCCTCTGTGCTGTGCAAGATGGGCTTTGCTGTGTTACTGGGTAGGTTTACTTGAGCAACTAAATACAGAGAAAGAACAAGTTTTTTTTTAATTTGTTTTTGTTGCACCCAGATTTGAATCTGCCTCCTGGTTCAGAGAAAGAATGTTCATGCTTGGCAGTAGCACTCAACGTTCTTTAATGTTCTTTCTGTTTTTCAGAATCCATACACATTTGTTTAATGGAGCTTTCTGGTCAAAGCGTTTGACCTCATTTTTTTAATCATTCCTTTTAGTAAAGCCTAAATCTAACATCAGTAGCATTCTTGTGCTCAACCCAGGTTTTATAATCTTTCCTGGACTCAGCAGCTCAGATGTAGGTCCTGTTCAACCATTGTTTCAATCTTCCAGTCAATCTGTGTTATTATGTTTGATGCAAAAATCAGTTATTCTGCGATTCCTGTTTCTTATTTTAAATATAGTACTGCTGAAAWAATTTTAGACACCTGCATAACAAGATGTTTGGATTGCACTCTTTTTATTGCTTTCTTATTCAATAATAGCAACATTTCTGTTTAAGACTATATTTATTAATTTAATTAGATTTCTTTGTTTTTGTCTCCTGGAAATTTCAATTGGCCTTGATTCCTCAGTTTAGTTTTTTACTTCACTTGTATCTCTCAAGAACAAATAAAAGTTTCTAGTTGTGTCGTGAAGGCAAATTTTTTGCTAAGCCAGAAGTGTTTTTTTGAAACAAGACTCACATAGCAAAGGTCAAAACCATCAGTTAAAGTGTTCACACAATAGAAACTGTTGGGAATCAGTGACTATCAATGTGTTGRCTGTGASGTCAAGAAAGAYATTTTAACWCTGGTTTATAAATCACTCATTGAGTCCATCATGGCCTTCAACATTTTATCCTGGTACAACTTCTTCACTGTGGAACACAAAAACAAACTGTTACGAATCAAAAATCAGGCCAGCAAAATAATCGGTTCACTTCAAACCCCTCTTTCTGAACTGCATAACTGCTCTGTGATGAGGAAGGCCACCCTGATCACAGAGGACCCCTCTCATCCCCTCCATCACTCATTCCAACTGCTCCCGTCAGGCAGAAGGTTCAAAGTTCCTCTGGCCCATAAAGCAATATACAAATAGTCCTTTATTCTGCTTGCAATAACCACTCTGAATACTTTTAAATAATAATAGTAGTGTAATGTATTTAACAGTTGCTTTTAACAGTCTTTTTTATGTGTTTTTATGGGTAGTTGAGTGTGTTGCATGTATGCTGTTGTTGGAGCCCTGTCGAAGAAAAAATTCTGTCAGCATCTGGGACAGACAATAAAGTTATTCTATTCTATTCTATTCTATTCTATCCTGCTCTCTGAACTAAGGAGAGGGGCAGTGTTCAAAAACCAATGAAGTTGTTCAACTTTGATTGTTCAGTTCAGTCTCTGAGTCCCAAAAGTTTTTTGGTGTTAATAACAGGCAAAAAACTTCCCATTTTACCTCCTAAATATGTTCACRTGTATTAGAAAACATTACAACCGTGACCATTAAGTTTGTTTTAGTATTAGTACAATTTATGATTGTGTTTTTATATTTTTAGTGAACTATCGTGGCTCTCTTGGGTACGGCCAGGACAGCATCCTCTCCTTGCCAGGCAATGTTGGCGTCCAGGATGTCAAAGATGTTCAGGTAGAGCAAAGCCAACAATGATTGATTGGTTTGTTTGTTTTGAACAAGGGGAATATGTTTCAAAGGAAATATCACCCTAAAAATAATATTATGTGGTTGGAGAAATGACTGTGTGTGGCAATATGAGATCATTCACATAGTTACTATATTTAATAAAATGTTTCTGCTATAATTGCAAGTCATAAGTTATAGCAACTCTGCTTTTATTTAGTTATCTTTTTTTCTTCTCTCTTCTTTCGATTTGGTTCACAGAGTTTGTCTGTTTTTTTGCATGTTTTTTTCTTCCTCCAGTTTGCTGTTGAAAGTGTTCTGAAAAGCAGTGAGTTTGACACACAGAAGGTGGCAGTTTCTGGTGGATCACACGGGGGGTTTCTCTCATGCCATCTAATTGGCCAATACCCAGGGTTCTACAAGGCCTGTGTGGCCCGCAACCCCGTCATCAATTTGGCCTCCATGATTGGCAGCACAGACATCCCAGACTGGTAGGTGTCCTCGTCCGAATGTGGTGTCCATCATGCACCGATAAACAACTGTGGTGTCTTTATTTATATTTAAATGTAAACATATTACAGTATTTTTATTTTCCATCTTGTACAAGAATAAATAAATCTGTGTAATAAATTTGTATATTGGCCCAAAACAGGTGAGTGAGAAAACGGTCTTGTGTGTTTGACCAAGAACGTGTCTTAAGCTATGTTCATGTCTTCGTTTGCAGGTCTAAATACTCAGTTCCAATTTTTTGCTCAAATTCAATTATTTTTGCATGGATGTTCACATTACATTTTAAATGCGACTTCCGTCGGACTCCAAAGTGAACTCTCCTCAACATTAATGTGACCAGCATGCTCAGAAAAACAAAAAGATGTGGCGTCACATTCAGCATGCTGTTTACATAACTAACTAGAAGCACTCGGAGAGTGCAAACCTCCGCCAAGACCAATTTCCCCCATCCTGCAATGGAGTGTTTCGCGGATACCGCCATCTTTGCCTAACGCAAAGCATCATGGTCCAGTTTGGGGACAGATTTTTATTCTGTGTTCTAAACTATAGACCTTCATGAAGCTCTAAAGCTCCCACTCCAAATATTTTCAACTGACAAAGCCTCCCTGATGGGAAGAGAAACATCTACAGTTTGAAAATAGAAGTCCAGTTATAATAACTTAAAAATATTGATTTATTTAGTGCCTCTAACCTCATGAAAAGCTTCATCCTGATATTGAGGACATTTATTTTATACTAGTTGTCTTTTTTCAGATGAACTATTTTAAGTTTTTTTTTATTTTAAGCAAAATATATATTCATATTTTTAATTCTTAGTTTTTCAAAAAAAAACTTTTACATTTATAAGGTTCTACTAATCTTATATAGCTGGGAAATATTTAAATAAATGGTAAATGGTACTGAACTTATAGAGCGCTTTTCAAGTCCCTCCGGACCCCAAAGCGCTTTACACTAACAGACATTCACCCATTCACACTCACATTCACACACTGATGATGGCAAACTACACTGTAGCCACAGCTGCCCTGGGGCACACTGACAGAGGTGGGGCTGCCATGCATCGGCGCCACCGGACCCTCTGACCACCATCAGTAAGCATGGTGGTCAGAGGGCACAAAGCTTGGGACTCAAGAGGTTAAAACTGGTGGGGCACAGCCCCCCGTGGCCACCCCCACTTGTTGCGCCCCTGGTGACTGACAGGTGATGTTCCACAGTGAAATGAGGAGCTGGAGCACTGCGCATCTCTGTTGGATCTAGCTGGAAGACTTTTCAAATCCGTCTTCTGAGGTAAACAGCTGATTTGTTGTCAGGCTGAGCTTTATGSGAGAAGTTTTCTGTTTGAAGCTGCTCAGCCCTGTTAGAGCTGCTGCWCTGTGCATCTCTCTGCTGGATGCCAGAGACAAGACATTTAATTTATGCAGCACTCAAAGGGACAAGGCAYTTCTTATTTTGTGATTTTTTTTTAGTTTTTAATCAGCGCCACTGTTTGTTTTAGCAGCCTGCCTAGGGTTATTGGGACTAATTTTTCTGATCTGCGCTCTTCATCGTCAGCTCAGGTGGCGCCCTGCAGCGCAAATCAGCTGTGCGGTATGATCGGCCCGACCCGTGGTGAGGAGAGGTAGAGAAGTCATTTGATATGGTATAGTTTAGAGCACAATGAATCCAGARAAACATCAGAGCCCCAGAACCTGTCRCTKCTTGATGTCGCGCTCACCCTGCGCAGATGAATCGCGCGCGTCAGGCTGGTGGTTCACTTCAGCCTGTGGGCCGSTTCACGGACTGAACCACCGGCCCTCTGACCTGCGTCTGGGCCGGTGGTTCAGGGGCTGAAGTGAACCACTGCGCGCAGACGACGGGCGGGGGACCGGTGGTTCAGCTCGTGGACCGGTACCAGGTTCGGCTCGGTTGCGCCCGCGTCTTCTCAGTTATTCCCGTAACCTAGCAACAGGTTCCTGAAGTTCTGTGCAGGGCTGGGGGAGCTCGCAACTTCTGGCTGATTCGCTCRAATTAAAAGAAATAATCCTGTGTCCACATCGTGATCCGAAACATCACCGTAATGTAATAATGTGTTACGTGTGCTAGTATGCACATGTGGTATAAATATCATGACAATCCGTCCACAGCTGTCCACAGACAGACCGACCGACAGACAGACAGACAGACAGACATACGCGACCGAAAACATTACCTCCTTGGCAGAGGTAAATATGGATGCTACAGGTTMGCATCTGTGTATCCATTCTGAAGCAGTTGTACAACCAGAGTAGATTAAACAATTATCTGATACTGTTGTTTCATTCAGTGTTGAACCTGCCTCTTGTCTGCTGCTCCAGTGCAGCATGAACGGGAGGACAAGCTGAAAGTAGAAGTAATTAAAGTATCTGTTTAGTAACTTCAGCAATGATTTGGCCTGAGATTGTCATTACTGTTATATGCAGTATTTCTTATATGCTGTAACCAAAAAGGCACACCGTGATAAGTGTATACATGTTAATGTTTTATTTTTTTGGGATCTCTGCAGGTGCATGGTTGAGGCTGGTTACGACTACAGTCCWGACTGTCTTCCTGATCCTGCTGTTTGGGAGCAGATGTTAAACAAGTCTCCCATTAAATACATACCTCAGGTACAGGATCTCTGAAGAGTTTARTTTCCTGCTCATGACTTCATCTCTTTAATCACACAACTTAATAACATGTTTTTTTTTTCTTTTTTTAGGTTAAAACACCAGTGCTGCTTACTTTAGGGGAAGATGACAAGCGTGTACCTAACAAGCAAGGAATTGAGTACTACAAAGCTCTAAAGGCAAGGCAGATCCCAGTTCGGTAAGCAGACACATGTAATTTGATATATATTTTAATTATCATTATTATAGTCTTGGTAGAAATGATGGTGCTGCTGCTCCTTCAGTAATGCTTCGTGTCTTGTTTAGGTTGCTGTGGTACCCAGGAAACAATCACTCTCTCTCAAAGGTGGATGCAGAATCTGACGGATTCATGAACATCGCTTTGTGGATTATTCAACACCTGRATCTGTGATGGTCAATTTAACGAATCRCRTTAGAAGATCCTGCTTTATATGATTTTTATTTTCCTGTTTTGTCATCCAATCTGAAGCCAAAATTTTGTAATTTTTTTATCCAGACAAAACACGCCTCCTTTACTTTACTCATAATCTTTACTAAAAACTGCTGTATGGATGGGAAAATAACAGTTTTAACATTGTGCTTGAAGCATTGTTGATTCAACTGAAAATATATATTTAAACAGTTATTACTCTTCCCTGCATTAAAATACAGAAAACAGTAAAAGGGCTTTTCATTGTTTTAGCTTTGATACATACACAGTTRCAAGGAGAACTTGTTTTACAATCAGCCTACCTTGTAAATTTTCTTGAGTAATTATTTTGTGTTAAATCGTTTCTTTTCTGATGCTATGTTTTAATGCACTTAATAAACTGATTTTGAAAAACTTAGTCTGGGAGAAATCTTTAAAAGCATCACAGTGCGTTCAGATGATAAGATTGTTTAAACAAATGGAACATCATTCCTTTTTATTGCAGTAATAAAGGTTTGTTTTCACTTTATGTCACCATCGTCCTGCTTAAAAGGATTTTTGTTTCCAGACCCACCTCAAAAGTAGTTTTGAGTTTCTGTAGATGTTTATTGTGTGACCATGTGAGCGCCGCAGCTGAAAATGAAGATGAAAAAAATTGACAAATCTTCTTTGCCAAACAGCTTATTTTGTTGTTGCTATTGACATTTGTTTTGAGCTTTTGGTACTCCCAGCTGCTGCTAATCAGATGCCTGATACAAGATTTATTGCCAAGAAGCTTTGTTACAACAAAGAAACATTCTACCAAACACTAATTTTCTGACTTTTTGCCAAGTATTTGCCAAGTATCACAAAAGTCTTGAGTGTTTGTTTGGAAACGGTGAACATCATTCAACTTTGCATCTCTAACCTTTATCGTCTGCCCACAGTAGATTGTTACTGTATGTCAAGTGTAATAAATAATTTACGAAAAATTTAAGTTAATGCTTGTATTTTGTTACTCTCAAATCTGATGATTATGTAATCTTAACAACTGCTAAATTATTGTATACTGTCTAGGTCAGGGGTGCCCAACCTTTTTTGAACCAAGAGCTACTTTTGAAGTCGGCAGTTTGCCGAGATCTACTCGTCCAGTCTCAGTATCAAAAAGCATTTTTTTCGTCTCCCTCCTCACTTATTTAAAGTAAATAAAAGAGAAAGTAATGTGTTGCTAGTTTTATTTAATTTAAAGTATTATCAAACAAAACTATCTACTTAGCCATATATTTACCTACAAAAAAAAATAAAATCCTTACTTAACTCCTGACAGAGAAACAGAAAAGTGATGCTCGAACAAAAAGGATAATTTTTTTTACCTCCTTCTATTAGTACTCCCTATAACATGCACGCTATGAGGGCTGGAAACCTGTCCAGTGCGAGAACCACAGAGTCAAATAACTTTGGAGCACGGGAACTCGTCTCCATTTATTCAAAGAACTCTCCTCTCTTTCTCTCCATACAGGGGAGGAAAAACAAAACAAAAAAAAACTAAAGTCAAAGCACACAATATAAAACTTGTTTATACTATTACAAAAAGTGATTTACGATGGTGCAGATTCAAACTTCAATCTGCAGCATGCAGGATGGTGTCATCTGTAAGTGTTGAAGAGCTCAGTCCCTCACTGATCCAGACTGCCGGCTCCAGACCATTCAAAGATTTCCACCTGGTTCACCACCTATAAACAAGACACACACACAGCCACGCTAGGTACGGAAAACAAGGGCACACCCAAACTGCAAAATAAATAAATAAATAACACAAAGGTGCCAGTCAGTGTATAAGACACTAGTCTGATCTAAATTCAATATTTATCACTCAGATTTTTTATTTCTAACTGAATGATGTATTACATGTCAAGTTGTATGCTATGGATTGCCTATCCATCCATCCATCCATTTTCTTCCGCCTATCCGGGGTCGGGTCGCGGGGGCAGCAGCTTCAGAAGGGAGGCCCAGACCTCCCTCTCCCCCATCGTGGATTGCCTAAATTACACAAATTTCCCCCCATTTCTGATATTCTGTTTCAAATTTAATTCATTTTTAACTGTGTGAATTAGAATATCTGGTAAATCTGGGGGAAAAATAACATAAAAACCAAAACAATTTGATTTTGTACGTATAAGCAAATTGACAATGAGATTCAGTCCTTAGTTTGCACACCATAAATTTTGGCTATAGGGTACCAAATTAGCTTGGCTAATAAAATTAAGTTGTTTTTGGACAGCAACAAAAAACAATACTTTCTGCACCTTCGTCCTTCATTGTGTACTTCACGTGAATGATATTTTTGTTGAGTAACATTTTCTACTTCAAAAGAGAACACAGAGTTTTTGACTGTTCGTCTTTTAACTGACTTCTACCAGGTGGGGAAACTGGAACATGACGTCACTCCTACCTCTGATTCTAAGCTCTATAAATGACACTCAGAACAGTGTGTCAGACCATTCTGCTTCAGAAAAGGGAGGCATGCTTTGGAACTTCAATGTCAAGCCACCAATCTCTAACTGGATTCATGGGCTCACAGGTATGATTTATCATAACGAACTGACCAGAGCATTGGAAGATTTTTGTAATAAGGCTAATTTGGATTTACAATCTCAGTTACATTATGACGTTTAAAAGAACTTATTAGTTAGCTTTCAACTCAAGCTCTTCGGCAATCATGATCTATAGTTTTGCTGTCAGTTCCACATGGAAAAATCAAAATACCAAACTATACCCTGGTGATCTTTTCTTTTTTCATTACTTTTATTGCTTTCWAACAAAACAGGCAATTTATAAACAGATCTTGTCTGTTTTTATTTTTGTATTAAAACTGTGTTAACTCCACCAACTTTCCTTGGATGGTTAGCTTCACTGATAGATTTTGTCTCACTGAGACGCAGTTATTCTTTTGYTGTCTGTCAGGTGATGACCAGACCGGAGGATATCGCCAAACTCTACCGAGAGCTCAGCCTCTTCCCATCTCCGACCAGAGCAGACRTAGGACCTGTCATCACCTCTCAGTATGGAGGCAAATACAGCAACATCTACACAGGTAGACCTTGATCATTCCTGTCTCTCTAAAGTGCTCTGATCTCTGTGTAAATGTATTTCTAGCATTTGCTTGCTTTCATCTGCAGAATGGAGCCAGTGTGATCTGGAGAGGAACGAGAATGTCAGGTTTTGCAGACAGTATATTGTATTCCACGATGACAAGTCTGTGGTCTTCTCTGGAGCTTCTGGAAACTGCACTGAAATCAAAACAATGTTGTCATCAGTAAATAAAACATTTTTATTAAGGTATGTTTTTTTTTTTTGTTTATTGCTTGTTTTTAGCTTTTGTGTTGTGAAGCATTCTGTGCACTTTCTGACTGTTGGACTATACAAGTAAATGTTGACTGACTGATTGATTGAGTAAAATATTTAATATTTATTTATATATATAATATATATAATAAAATTTAATATATAAGCAAGCTGAGCCATGTCCACTTTTATTTATTTATCTCAGAGCGCTGAGTAAGGATTCTCCTTCTGGTGAGATGAAGGCAGTTGTTAGAGAATGCACAATCAAAGGAGAAGAGAAGCAGTTTTTGGAGGTGTGTTACAGTCTGTCTGGTTTAGACTGAACAAGGACTTTGTTGTTCTCGTATTTTTTTCTGTCTTGGTTTCACTTCAATTCTTTTTGAACAGGTATAAAGCCCTTCTTTGTCTTTGTTAGTTTAATATTAACTGTTTCTGTATATTTTTACAATTTTATTACAGCTGAAATTTTCATTTGAAGATCTTTGGCTTTTCTTCGCAATTTAATGCCTTTCAGATCTGGAGTAAAAACATAAAGATGAAGTGCATAAATCTGACAGCCTTAAAGAAGCACGGCAAAGTCTATGAAGATGGTAAGTCTTAATTTCCCCCTTTCTTTCAGTTTATTTGGAAGTTTTCTCCTACACCGGTTTGTGTTTACATCCTCAGAGCAGTTTGGCAGCTTGGTTTGGTCTCACTCTGAGACACACCTCCTGTATGTGGCAGAGAAAAAGAGACCCAAGGCTACATCCTTCTTCCAGGTGTGTCTGCAGAATTAGTTTTGACAGAAAATACCACTGATTTTTACAGGAATACACTGCTGTCACATTAGAATATTCAACATCAAGTTTGTTTCACAGTTTTGATTATCAAAGTCCAGTATAAGACATTATAAATATACTTTCATGCTGTTCAGAGAAAAGTTATTATGGAATCAAAAAGAAATTGTGATTTAATTAAATTTGCTTCCACTTTGAATAAATCTCATGAGAAGGAAAATGAAATTGTCACCTATGAATTCAAGTTTTGAATGTATTTTTCTTGTTTCTTTCTTGTTTTACTTACAAATATATTATATGCATTTGTATCGACTGATGTTGTAAAGTTTCCATAGCCAGTTAAACCTCTCACACACATGCCCTTGTTTCAGCACAACTGGATCACAGGACTATTTGTGTTTTACWATTGGAATGTGAACAGATAAGAGACAATGAAATATCCAGTGTTACCACATTCTAAACTATTTACCACWTTTTAAAGAGAGCTTTCCCTTTGTATAAAGACTACAAAACAAATTTATACTTTTCTAGGAATTTTTGCTGGTCAGATAAAGAACCACCCCTCGCATGTCAGAAATAACCTGTTTTTGGGATTGGCTTCTGCTAAGGGTATAAAGATACATCACTGGGRCTGTGTCTCCAGACTCAAATTGTATTGACTCTCATTTTATTGCAATAAATTTCTCAGAGACCATTGTAGTGAAGAACTTTTTTGATCACATATTTCTGCATTTTGTTTAACTTTTCTTTTTTTTCCACAACATCTCATGTGTTTGCTTTGCTTTTTACAAGCTGCAATCCATAACAGCACTTGTGCCATAATCCAAAGAAACAATGATACATATTTTGTTTTTGATAGGATTAGGTGTTATTCAATCTTTACCAGAAGTTGATGTGACCAACAGCTTTCTGTTTACAAMCCTTATTTTCCTTTTGTAGACGGAGTTACCAGAATTGTTTTTAATTGAAGAYGACAAGGAAACCATCAAGGTGCGAAAAAAGCAGACTGTGAAAGTAAATGTAGTTTAATTTGTTTATAAAAAAAATACAAATAACCTTTAAAATGATTTATCAGGCTGTTTGTGGTTTTCAATTTAATTCCTGCAGGGGGAGCAGTTTGCCTACCATGAGGACTGGGGRGAGGACTTGGGTAATAAGAGTCATCCAGTGATTTGTGTTTTGGACATTGAGGGGGACAACGTCTCTGTGTTGGAAGGAGTGCCTGATGATATCTCACCTGGACAGGTTGGTACAGMAGTGGCAGGAATGTTGAGCTTTGTTTTCATGCTTATGTACTTTTTGYTTGATTAGTTTCGGTTGYATTTTGTTTGTATCTCTGCAGGCATTTTGGGCTCCAGGTGACACAGGTGTGRTCTTTGTAGGCTGGTGGCACGAGCCCTTCAGACTTGGCCTTCAGCTATGCCCCAATCGAAGGTGCTTCTACATTACATMGATCAAATATGTCTCAAAAACAGCTGTAGTGTTGCAAATGTCTTAGTAGAYCTRTAAGTGTGTTTTTATTTCTCTGACAGGTCCTCGTTGTTTTATGTGGATCTTACTGGTGGTAAATGTGGTAAGTGTTGACTTGTTTYAKCAGCAGGCTAGAAAGTAATGATTTAATACACATCTGGAACTGATTAACTTTTGGAGTCAACCCAATGGAAGATGACAGCACAGACAAAACATCACACAGTTATGAATGTGCAAAGCCCACCTTACATCTCCAGCTCACAGGTCACTAGGAATAAACATYGGGTATGTTCATGAAATACAGTTGGACTGGTAGATGTACATTTTTAACAGTCCTGATGTATTTTCTCAGAGGTAAGATTTTTTTCTTTGCACTTTGAATCTAATTTAGGAGCATGTTTTTTTTTTTTTAATCAGAATCAGAATCAGTTTTATTGCCATTGTCAGTGAATACACAGACTAGGAACTTGCAGTTAAGATTTAGATTTTTTTTTTCACTGTTATGCATACTTACTACATGTACATAAAGTCCCAACCAATCGGATGGATATAGTATTGTAGGAAATGGGTGCCAGCAGGATCTGAAGTAATCAAATTGTTGATTTATTGTGGTTTGCTCAGTTCCTCTTTGTGTGTAAAGTGCAGATAAGAATTTCTCAATGAACTGAATGGCTAAACAATGAAAGCAATTTTTTATTGGTAAATGCATGRAGTTATTATTGCTTATTATATATATTTAGATCATGTTAAAAATAAATTTACCAGTTACAAAATTATATTTTTGTATAAAAAATGTTAACAAAATATCAAATTGCCCTTTTTACGTCCGGTCCCCTTGCTCATAAAAGTCATTCAGTGCATTGGCACATCAGCCAACTTCAACCAATGTTTTCTCTGACATAATTGTCAAGAAATGTTAGTAACTGAACCAATGAATGAGAAAAATGGGATAATGCATCAAGTTCAATAGCAATGTGGATTTGTTTATTATGTGAATGCTAACCCCTCAACTCTATCCATGATGCTGTGCATGCAGAAAACTAGAAAATGATTCATTAACCTTAGTAAAAATGGCAATGTAAATTTMTTCAAAGCATACTAGATTTTGAGTTATTTGCCAAGGAGGTTATGTTTTCAGTAGCGTTRATTTGTCTGTCTTTCTGTCAGTCTGTACACAGCCATCCATTACTTCTTGTATTCCAAAATCAGGTTGCGGGAGCAGCACCTTAAGCAGGGAGACCCACCTCTCTTTTTTGTCACTTCAGTACAAAATGAAACCAAGTATTATTAGTTTATTTAGTTTATTTATTTCTTCATCATCAGTGACTTTTTTAAGTGAAGAGAAAATAGAGAAAGAGAGAAAAACACAGAGAAGCCGCAGAGAAGCCACAACCATGACCACCCCACCACACCGCCAACGACCAAGTGCACCCTCCCAGCCCAGCCGTCCACCCTCCCGGRACCCGGCAGCCACCCCGGCCAGGGGGCCACCCACAGGAACCAAGAGCCACACCTCAGGAGACCAAGCAGCACCAGGGAGGATGGAGAGCCAGCCCCGCCCCCGGCAACCGTCCAAGCCCCGAGCCCACCCACAGCCCAGGACCGCACCCGGCGGTCTGCCCTTCTTCAGGACCCCCTCCCCAAATGACAGTCGGGGAACGGGATGGGAATAAAGACCCTGACACACACACCCCCACCCCCAGATGTACTGTTGGTGCGTGTTGTTCTATAGAGCAATTGAAAAGGGAAAGAAGAAGAGGCAGGGGCCGGCATGGTGCCAGTTTCCCAGAGACCCAGCTCTCATTCCCCAGCCACCTCTTCCAGCTCTCCTGGAAGGATTTTAAAATCATTAGGGCCAGCCAAGAGACATAGCCTCTTCACCTTGTCCTGGGTCTTCCTCTGGGTCTCTTTCCAGTCAGATGTGCCCGAAGCACCTCCCAAGAAAGGCACCCAGAAAGCATCCTTACAGATGCTCAAAACATCTCTGTTGGAGGAGTAGCGGCTCTACTCCAAGTTATCCTCCGATAACTGAACCTTTCACCTCATCTCTAAGAGAGAGTCCAGCTACCCTGCAAAGAAAAAAAAAACAATAACAAAAAAAAAACAAAAAACAACTAATTTCGACATCCTCCATCCGTGATCTTGTATTTTCCATCACTACCCAAAGCCACAGATGAGGGTCGGAACAAAGACCTATCAGTAAACAGAGAGCTTTGCCTTAAGAGTTCAGCTCTCTCTTTACCTTAATGAATTGGCACAAAGTCTGAAGTAGAAGCCACATTGATCAGTCTATCAATCTCATTCTCCATTCATTCTTCACTTGYGAAAAAACCCAAGATACTTGAACTTCTCCACTTGAGGTAGTACCTCACCTGCTCTGTGATGTTCTGTTATTTTTTATTCCAAATATGAATATCTCTAAAAGATTCAATACATTTTAAATAAAATCTAATGCCATTGTAATAGGCTATCATTGTTTCATAAATGCATATTATCCATCCATCCATCCATCCATCCATCCATCCATCCATCCATCCATCCATCCATCAATCCATCCATCCACCTTCTGTACATGCTTATTCCTTTCAGAGTCACGGGGGTCATTGGTGCCCATGTCCAGCAGTCACAGTGTGAGGGGCGGGGTACACCTTGGACAACCTATTAATTTATTATAATTTTTTTGTGCTTTTATTACAATTTAACTTGGTACATGATTATGGACATTATTGTTGATTTCCATGTTTACGCGTGTTGTCTCTATCAGAGCAACTTACATCAGGCACCAGTGCAGTTTGTTCCCCAAGACTGAGTCCAGACCAGTGCYGGATTGTCTACCTGGAATGTTCTGTTTCTGGACCACTCTTGCCGTGCAGCAGTCTTTGTATGGTGAGAAAGGATAGGGCCTCTGTTCAACAAATGCAGTTTAGTTTTCTTTTAGTAGATTGTCCAGTAAAAAATAGGTTTGAATCAGTAAATTTATCAATCTGAAAAAACACAATATCACAATATCATAGCTGTGCTCTTGTGCTACTGATTTTTTTAGTACGACTGGTACACTAAGAAGACCTCAGTAGTGGTGGATGTTGTTARTCGACCTAGAGAAGGTGAGAAATGTGTTTTTCTTTGATCATAAAACTCAAAGTACACCTTTTCACTGTTGTGACTGTTTACTTTTGGCTTCACAGATGGCTTTACTGGCATCTACAGTTCTCAGCTGTCACCCCAGTGCTGGTCTGCTGATAGTCAGCGTATTGTTGTTGATTGTCCTCAGCGCAGCCGCAAGGTTTGTTCAAGTACCCGCAAATAGATGAGGAAAAAAAATAGAAGAAAAAAACTCAAAAGGTTTCTGTAAATGTTTTTATGTTGGTGTTTGATCAAATTGAAAAAGTTGATAAAGTTTTTTGTTTTTCAGGATCTCTTAGTGGTGGATATAAATACAGGCAGCATCACCTCTCTGACTGCAAGTTAGTCTCTCAGAACACATTATTATTATTATTGGCAGGTCACAATATTTTTTAATATTATATTCACAGTGTTATGATCTTGTTTGTTGTAGAGTCTGATATTGGTAACTGGAGCTTGCTGAACATAGAGAGAGATCTGATGGTGGTCAGCTACTCTTCTCCCAACTGTCCTCCATGTCTGGTAAGGTTATCATTAAGAAAAAAACATGTTTAGATGTTTTCACTTGTTTTAAACAAAGTGTTGTGTAGACTGCTACATAAATTGAGTATTTGGGAGTGTCTGTTTAGGCTTAAATAATTTAAATCTAAATGTCATAACAATACTTTTTTTCCTCATTTTGTATGTAGAGAGTGGGTTTCCTTCCAGGCAGAGATTCTCAGGAGGAAGTTGTTTGGGTTACATTGGAAGACTCTCAGTTAATGCCTGAAATTGATTGGCAAATCATGACTTTCACTCCTCCCCCAGAGCAGGAAAACAGTCAATACCGTAAGATTATTATTATTTTTAATCTGTACTCACTTTATCAGAAGTCACAGGGGACACAGTTTAAATTTGAATTTCATATTATGTATTATTCAGTCCTATGTCCTGAATTTACAGGTGACTGTCACCTGGCTTTCTAATGAGTGTCACTATTTTTAATACCACAAAGCAATGGCTTTGTTTGAAAGAAATGATAAAAACAATTGTATTTGCTGACAACATAGGTAAAAAAATGGAAGCGATGACTCATACCTTACACCAACAGCTAAATCTAAATCACAACAAATAAGCTAGAAAAAAAACATGCTTTTTTTGCACACAGTATGTTTAAAGTTTTCTCTTGAACCTAAGATCGAACATTTTATTCATTTCTGTAACTTGTAAGAAGATGTTTCATTTGTGGGAAACACTATCAGTTTCTTTTATTTTATTTTTTCRGTTTACAAAAAACGATGTTGAACATTACTGGTGTTAACAAGTTTCACTGTCTTTCTAGCGGGCCTTGATTTCGAAGCTTTGCTGATTAAACCGAAGGAGGTTAAAGAAGACATGAAGCTGCCTCTAATGGTCAGCCCTCATGGTTAGTTGTTTTCAGCATTGCTTTTTATTCAATTTCTGTAATTTGATTTAAAAAAAAATAATTATGTGTTGTCAGTATTTTGTCCAATCTCAAACTCATATTGGACTACAAAAAAACTATATTATGTATATTAGGAAGTATTTATTTTTAGAAACTGCTTCATTAAAAGCAGCTGCAGCTAACATTGTTGTTACAACATGGTATATTATATTCTGACATTGAAACTTTAGAGCATAACCTATTTCTCTTTCTGTTTCTTAATATTTTTAGATGTTATATAAAAAAAACAAGCTGCTGGTTTAATCCATTAATGGTTATTTTTATTAGGTGGTCCTCACTGCGTGTCTGTTGCTGAATGGCTTCTGGACTCCTCTGTGCTGTGCAAGATGGRCTTTGCTGTGTTATTAGGTAGGATTATTTGTGAACATAAAGATCATTTTCATCTCATGCAATCTTAACAGATTGCATTGTTTGATTAAATAGGTACTGTAAATAATTTGGAACATGTCTGCTTCAAATGTTCTATTTKAGTTTATAATAAATGTAAGAACCTTTTATGGTATGTATTATTCAGAGTTTCCTTAAATATGTACAAATTGAGAGCAGAAATACATGTACATTTTTAACCTAATATGCATTTTATGTAACAAGTTGCAAATTATAACCACTTCTAGTAAAAACTGACCTACATCCATCCATCCATCCATCCATCCATCCATCCATCCATCCATCCATCCATCCATCCATCCATCCATCCATCCATTATTTTTTACCTGTTTCTTCCTTTCAGGGTCACAGGGGTCACTGGTGCTCATATCCAGCAGTCACTGGGGGGCAGTTTGCAAGTACATCACAGGGCCACATAGAGACAAACAACGATTCATGCTCTCGCTCACACCTAAGGGCAATTTACAATTAGCCTAACAGTCATGTTTTTGGTCTGTGGGAGGAAACTGGAGTGCCCGGAGAAAACACAGAGAGAACATGCAAACTCTACTCAGAAAGGTCCCCTGCCGGGATTCAATCCTGCAACMTTCTTGCTGAGAGACAACAGTTCTACTAACTGTGCCATATTGCTGCCACCTAACTTTAACTAATGCCATTTATTTTCTGAATTCAGCCCAGTGGTAGCCACTGCCTTATGAAACCAGACTCACATAACACAGGTCAAAACCACCAGTTTCTRAATCACTTTCAAAAAGTGTTCACACAACAAAACTGTTGGGAACCAGTGACTGTCTATGTGCTGACTGTGATATCCTGCTCTCTGAACTAAGGGCAGTGTTCGAAACCAATAAAATTGTTCAACATTGGTTAATCAGTTCAGTTTCTGAGACTCTAAAATTTTTCACTGTTAATAACAGGCAAAACATTGCAAGTCTGTAGTCAAACTAGATACCGCATAGCGGTAACATAATGACCCCCACACACATAAATGCACCAGAACTCAGAAGTCTTTATTCCTAATAAATGTCATGCTACTAGGTGCATCCCAAAATTGCTGTGGGTGGGGGTCTTATTTTTGGAGTGGGGGGGGGGTTGCATTGGTTAGCCTGATGGATAGCCCCTCATCAGAGCTAAACAACAAAATAAATCTGAAGCTCCTATGTTTAATATATTTTGCGTTATAACCATTTTTGTATGTCCAGATACCTCCTTTTCAGATAAATTGGGGGGTCTGGGGGGTGGGGGCACAGATTGGTTGACCTGATGGATAGAGCTTCATCAGAGCTAAACAACAAAATAAATCTGAAGCTCCTATGTTGAACAGTTTCTGWGTTATAAGCATTTTTGCATGTCCAGACACCCCCACTTTGAAAGAAGGCCCCTCCTCAAATATAGGGTCTATCGTCAAACTCTTGGCTGGCGCAGTGTAGGTCGGACTCTTCTACAGTCCTGCCAAATTTCATGTTGATAGGTGCAGCCGTTTTTGTGCTACGGTTGACCAAAAATCACTGAAAAAAACAAACAGTACGAAAACAATATGACTCCCGCTTACGCTTCGCATGCGGGGGGTCATAATAACTCATGAGAATCCAGATTCTTCTAGTTTCAACAGGTGATGTACATTTTATGTGTTCATTTGTATTAGAAAACATTACAACCTTGACCACTAATGTTAGTTTGAGTATTAGTACTATTTATGATTGTGTGGTTTATATTTTTAGTGAACTATCGTGGCTCCCATGGATACGGCCAGGACAGCATCCTCTCGTTGCTGGGTAATGTGGGCGCCCAGGATGTCAAAGATGTTCAGGTAAGAAAAAKCCAACATTAGGAACAAAAATGCTGACTTGTTGGGTATGTGTTTCAAAGCAAGTACATACTGTACCACCACAAATATATATTTTGTTCTTGTTGGAGAAATGACTTGAGCAATTGTGGTAAAAAAATTATCAAAGAGATCAGGTGTAGACTTCAGTATTTATTTTAAAATTGCAGAAAACTATTAGTACTATTAGTATACTGTTAGTATTATGAATACTAATTGGTCTTGCTTGATATTGTTTGCRTTGTTAGTTTCTACGTTTAATAAAAAGTACCGGTAGTTTTCATAGTTGTAAGTCTTGAGTCATGACAACTAAGTTTTTATTTAGTTATTATGGTTCATTCATCTCTCTTCTTTGGTCTCCATTTGGTTCACACATGTTGTCTGTAGGGTATATAATASATATGTCATGAATTATTACTAATCCTTACATTACCTAGTATTTATATCTACATATATTATCTGATAGTTATTTAAGGAAAATCAGTATACATTTAAACATATTTCAACACTAAGAATACACTTCAATTCCTAACCTAATTCACTAGAGATGAGTGACAATAATACTGTAGGTATCAAGAGATATCATTTCAACAACTTGCAATAATAAATGAGAAAATATCTTTTTGGCTAAAAGAAAAGTGTACATGAGAAGTGTGGGGAACAAAAAAAATACCTTAAAGGTAATAAACTAACATGCTTCTTTTGACTACAGTGGATGTTTTGCAAGCATGTGATCACTGGGAACTGAAATGAAATATGGTTAACACAGTTTTACAGAACCATCGTGCACATTGAACAAAGTTTATTTTTCAGCAGGAGACAYTGAAAATTTTTAAGGTGATTGTCCTTAAAAATTTAGGAACTGATTCCAAACACAGTCTGAAGGGGAAGTTGGAGGTCCATCTTGATCATAARAGAAAAGGGGTCATGCCTATAGGTTAATCCTTTGATGTTAAGGATTAGAGTTATGGCTACACGTGAAGAGCCAGGGCCCAGTTTGGGACACTCCCATGTGTATRTGAATTTACATTTCTTTRGGTMAAAACAATCAACATTTACTGTCCTCTGTTTTCTGGAGTCAGCAGGTACATTTGTGGTTTMGATATTGTTGATTTAYTTAAGAAGAAATGGGTTCTTTCAGGAGCACAGCTACATATAATCTGAGGTGTGTGTAGGACACATCTGTATACCCACTTTTTGTGCCACTGGGTTTCTTGGTTGGCCCATAGCAGCAAGTGAAGTCTTGTTTAAAGGGTGTTATTGAGAAGATATGACACTGCACTGTTTTTTTTTTTTTTTTGCATGTTTTTCCCCCTCCAGTTTGCTGTTGAAAGTGTTCTGAAAAGCAATGAGTTTGATTCACAGAAGGTGGTAGTTTCTGGGGGCTCCTAYGGGGGATTTCTAGCATTCCATCTACTTGGCCAATACCCAGGGTTCTACAAGGCCTGTGTGAATTTCAACCCTGTTGTCAATTTGGCCTCCATGATTGGCAGCACAGACATCCCAGACTGGTAGGTCTCCTCGTCCACATATCTACAGTATGTTCCTATTCAAATTATTCACATGGTAAAAGTGTCCATCATGTACTGTGGTACTGTTCTCAACTGTGGTGTCTTTATTTGTGAAAGGTAGACTTTTTCTTTTGTTTCCCATTTTATGCATGATAAAATAAATTTGTGTATCAATTCACATACTGGACCAAAACAAATGAGTGTGTTAATGGTGTGTGTGAATACATGTGTTACAGTCTGTAATGTGACCATAAAATCCACACTGTGATTAATGTTTACATGTTAATGTTTTCTTGGGATCTCTGCAGGTGCATGGTTGAGGCTGGTTACGACTACAGTCCAGACTGTCTTCCTGATYCTGCTGTTTGGGAGCAGATGTTAAACAAGTCTCCCATTAAATACATACCTCAGGTACAGGATCTTTGGAGAATGTGAATTTGAAGAATCACAATGTAAAGACTTTTTTTTTCTTCTTTTAGGTTAAAACACCAGTGCTGCTTATTTTAGGRGAAGATGACAAGCGTGTACCTCACAAGCAAGGAATTGAGTACTACAAAGCTCTAAAGGCAAGGCAGATCCCAGTTCGGTAAGCAGACACATGTAATTTGATATATACAGTATTTTAATTATCATTATTATAGTCTTGGTAGAAATGATGGTGTTGCTGCTCCTTCAGTAATTCTTCGTGTCTTGTTTAGATTGCTGTGGTACCCAGGAAACAACCACTCTCTCTCTGATGTGGACGCAGAATCTGATGGATTTATGAACATGGCTTTGTGGATTATTCAACACCTGAATCTGTGATGGTCAATCTAACGAATCGCATTAGAAGATCCTGCTTTATGTGATTTTGTCTTCCTGTTTTCTCGTCCAATCTGAAGCCAAAACATTGTATTTTTTTATCCAGACAAAACATGCCTCCTTTACTTTACTTACAATYTAGCTGCTGTATCGATGGAAAAATAATAGTTTTAGCATTGTGCTTGAAGCATTGTTGATTCAACAGAAAAGATTTTGTACACAGTTATTACTCTGACCTGTATTTAAACACAGAAAACAGTAAAATACATTTTTATTGTTTAAGCTTTGATACATATYTACACTATACAACCTGTTTTATAATCAATATGTCTTGGAGGTAATTGCTCTTCTWGAGTAATTATTCTTGTGCTAAATCAGTTTTTTTTCTGACTGTATGTTTTAATGCACTTAATAAACTGATTTTGAACTAMTGGTAAAGTGGTTGTTGTATTAAGCATGTTGGTGTTAAAAATAAGTTGTGTAATGTTTGTCCTTTAAATCACTTGAGGCAAATCTTCTCTTGATGTCCCTCATGAATATAAGCTCTGTCACATGGTGTGCGTCAGACTGCTGCAAATATCACAGCACGCTTTCACTTCTGCATGCGTGGAACCTGTTTCTATTCACTGCATAAACCGTTAGACCATCTTTTCAGCCAGTGCYCTGCCCTCTTGGATTTAAAACACTGCGATGTATTAGCCTGATTTRAACTTAAAAATCTTTACCAGTGATGGTAAGTACAACATTATTTTACTGTTCAAAAYGTACTGCATTTTGCCCTTAGAAAATTAGTAGTGTTGGTCTGTTACAGGAACAGAAATGCAAGGATAGAACATTGCTGTCAGTTCAAACTTTCATGTTTAGTGTGATACTAAACAAATGTAATGTATTTACCTCCATAAATATGCTTAAATAGTTTTTTTTTTAGCCAAATCGACTCATTGACTTTTGTTTTTTCAGGCTGTGGTGAAAGTTCTCTTCCTCAGTCAGTTTCTAATGATAGGGAAGACGCTGAAYATCAAGTTTTTCCCATGTTACGCTGATGTGAATTCCACCAAGGTGGACTGCTCTGACAGACCTCTCATGCACGTCCCACCCTTTAAGTCTGCTTCTGTGTTGTCCATCAATTTGAGTCATACTAAGATACAGAAAGTGAAGGATCACGCTTTTGCAGGTGTCCCAAAACTGAATACGCTGGAAATAAGGGATACTTGTCTGCCAGGAAATCTGAGGACCCCGGGGCAAGAGCACTGCAAAATGGAGATAGACCGGGAAGCCTTCAGACACCTGCAACATCTTACACATCTGATTCTGTCTGGAAACAGCCTCACATCCATTCCTCTATTACCTGAGAGCTTACAAGTCCTTGATCTACAGAACAATTGCATTGTCAATATTATTGTCCCCTTAAATACTCCAWATCTTGAAGCTTTATTACTTTCTAGGAACTGCTTTTATGCAAACCCTTGTAATCAGTCCCTTTACATAAATGGGACTGTTTTCAGAAATCTTCCTAAACTCAAAAACCTTACTTTGGGGTATGACAATTTGACAGCTGTTCCTAAAGAGTTGCCAACTTCACTTGAGGTACTTGATTTAAGAGAGAATACAATCACAGAAATTCCCAATAACACATTTGCCAACCTGACAAACCTCACAKACCTGAATGTGGAGTGGAACTGTCAGCGTTGTGACCATGCAGCAAGGCCCTGCTTCCCTTGCCCGCAAAATCACCCGTTGAAATTACATCCAGACTCAYTTTTTTCTGAAAATAGCTCCATCGTCTTCCTCAGCTTAAGAGGAAATTCTCTGAAAACATTTCCTCAGGGTCTTTTTGCACCACTGAAAAATTTAAAGAGACTGGACATCTCTGACAACTTTCTGGGTTATGAGATGCAAAATGGCACCTTTTTTAGAGAACTGAAAGGCCTCACTTGGATTAGCCTCATTTATAACTATGAACCACTGAAGACATTTTCAAAACTGAACCTGTCCCCCTTTATTGGCAATATAACACAGTTGCAAAACCTTTTGCTGAGTGGCAACTTCTTCCGCACACTTTCAGAAGAGAGTTTTGACGTTTTGTCAAATCTTAAACAACTAAAATTRCTAGAACTGAGAATGAACTTTATCAGCAACTGTAACTTAACCTCTCTCAAGAAGGTACCATCTCTTACCACTTTAGTCCTCTCACAAAACATGCTTAATTTCATTCCGTGCTGCTCGTCATTGTCATTTGGGGTTGTAGCGCAAGAAAGCTGTCAGAACCAGAACTCGTATACCAATCATCTCCAAGACACACCTYCTATTGTAATCGATCGAGAACCTGTGTCTAGAGAGAATGTCTGGGAATCCAGCAAATCAAACGAGCTGGAATTCAAGGAAAAAAGTTTRTGTCAAATTCCATCACTGGGGAACTTCAAACACAAGTACTGTTCAGATAGGCTGACATTTAATCTTTCTCAAAATGACATTTTATCGCTTAACAAAAATGTATTTTTAGGCATGGAAAACGTGGTCTGTTTAGACCTTTCTTACAATTACATGAGCCAGACTTTAAGAGGTGGGCTGTTTGATAGCATGAAGCAGTTGGTATTTCTTAACATGTCTTACAATAGACTTGATCTTTATAACAGAGAAATTTTCAGTGAACTTAATGCCACATTGAAGGTATTAGATGTTAGTAACAATGACTTTCATTTTAAAATGAAGGGTATGGGCCACCGCTTTGAATTTCTTCCAAATCTGTCCAATTTAGAAGTGCTAAGTCTGGCAAACAATGGCATTGGGATGCGAATAGATCAACAACTGAATAGCCGGTCCTTGAAGTACCTTTACTTCTATGGAAATGATCTGGACACAATGTGGGGGTCTACAAACAATAAATACACACATTTTTTCCAAAACTTGACTAATCTCACATACCTGGACATCTCTGACAATAATCTGAAGTCAGTCTCACCAGAGGTGTTATGCAACTTCCCAGTAAGCATTACGAGCCTATGCATCAGCCACAATACTCTGAAGTATTTTCCCTGGCAAAACATCTCAGCTCTCAGCAATTTATGTCACCTGGACCTGAGTCACAACTTCTTGCATGAGTTGGTTCCAGAAGCAATACAATTTGGAGCCACTTTTTCCTTTCTGGACCTCAGCCACAACCACATTTCTTCTATTCCGGAGAATTTCTTCAGTGAAGCAAAGTCCTTGCAGAATCTATTTCTCAATCACAACCAGATCAAAGTGGTAAACCATCAGCACCTCCCAGCCCCCTTTCTAAATGGCAGCAGCCTTCAGATACTCACTCTGCACGAGAACCCCTTCAAATGTGACTGCAATACGTCCTGGTTTGCAGACTACTTGAGAACCACTTCAGTAAAGATTCCTTATTTACTGACACTGGTACAATGTGRATTCCCAGAATCACAAGAAGGTCAGATTCTACTGTCCATGGACCAGCGTTCCTGTCAGGAAATCTACGGCAGCCTGGCCTTCCTGTTCTCTTCCTTCCTCGCTGTGATGTTAACTGTTCTTCCTCTGCTGAAGCATCTGTATGGTTGGGATGTGTGGTACTGCTTGCAGGTTCTCTGGGCAGGACTTAAAGGCTACTCCCAGTTGCCTGGTAGCGATTCAGGTCATCGTTATGAYGCTTTTGTGGTGTTTGACACCATGAACCCGGCTGTGAGGGACTGGGTTTACAATGAGTTGACTGTCAATCTGGAGAACTTGGGCAACAGGAGATTTTCCCTCTGCTTGGAAGAAAGRGACTGGATTCCTGGGCTTTCATGCATCGACAACCTACATAATGCTGTCCACAGCAGTGTGAAAACAGTGTTTGTACTGTCTAGGGGTGCAAACGTAAGTGAGCTGGTAAATGGCACGATCCGCCAGGCTTTCTTCATGGTTCAGCAGCGGCTGCTGGATGAGAAGGTAAATCTTGCCTTTTTTTTCCTCGTATATTATTTGAATCTCACTCTTATGCTGTCTGAGATGATGCAATGTTTTCACAACCCTAAATTATCTCTGAAACTTTCTATTTTTTAAAGGTTGATACAGCTGTGCTAGTTTTGCTGGATAAAATGTTTCCGAAACTGAAGTACCTTCAGCTGAGGAAGAGGTTGTGCAGAAAGTCGGTACTTTCCTGGCCGAGAAACCCGAAGGCCCAACCGCTGTTCTGGAATCAGATGAGAATGGCACTGTCATCAGATAACCTTTCATTTTATGATAACAAGATGAGTGAAAGTTTTATATGATTTCTCTGTAACAGGGAACTGTTGAGAASTTTTTTGGGATTTTGGTTTGACAAATACTTTGCTAAAGATGATTTTCTTTTTCTTTTCTACTTTTCATGTATTTGAAATTTTGTGTATTTTGAAATTTTATTTTATTTTTGAATCACCATGTGGACAGGTGTAATACCTTAAACACTTTAACCTTGGCTTTTTTTTAGCTGTGCTTTTCTTTCATGACATCAAAAATCCTTCTGTAAATAACCTATTTTTATTCGACTTTTATTCGTTGAAAATGTTTCCTGTAAATATTTGTCACACTTTTTATTGTTTTTCCTAAATATGGGCTAATGTACTAGTTGTTGTTCTGTGCTTCAAAATTAAGTGGAAAACAGAAAAAAGAACTAAAACAAACACTGCTTGATTTTGCTTGAATTCCTTTATTTCATAATCATAAGAGCTACAATAATGCAGTGTAACTATATACCCACACCCCCAGTACAAAGATTTCACTTCTCTTTTGTTAGACACAAGAGGAAATGAAACTAAAGATTGTTTCTTATAGTTCAATAAGATCCTCATCAACAACCGTCCAAATTAAGAGTCATCTGCCATTCTGAGAGTTATGATGTAATGCAAACCGTTACTCTGCATGCAGATGGTTGCAATGACCTCATAATACAATAGAAACAGAGTTTAGAGTAGTTTTCAGAGTCGGACCCACCAAGACTATTGCTAGTCAAACAATGATAGCTAAACAGCCTAAACAGCTGTTAAGTTTTCATAATCCTTTTATAACAGCAGTTTTTATTACTTTATGAGTTATGTGATTTTAGCAATCATCCTTAAATTTTCTTTAAATTCTGAAAATAAGCTCAAGACTCCTCACTTTGTGAACTGCTGTTTTAAATCAGCTCTATTAGAAAGAAAAAATAAGCAGGTCCTCTGGACGGGTTCTTTAATGGTTCTTCTTCATTAAAGAAGAACCCGTTCAGAGGACCTGCTTATTTTTTTCTTTTTGATTTTTCTACCTGGATTACTTAGATGCACCTGGACATCAGCTCTATTAACACCGGTCAAAATTATTTATGTTTATTTTATTGTTAATGCATCATTGTAGTAATTAATAAACTAATAAAAGCATCACATGTAACAGTTTCCTTGTAAGCAAGGACATAATGTTCAGGTAAAATTATTTGATATAAAAGAGTTGTGTCAGCTGAAATCTTACTAGCATTTTTGATGTTCCAGTCTTATCTGACTCATTTTAGCTGAAAACCCACTCCATTGTAGTTCAAGCAACAAATTCAACTTCATCAGGAGCATGTATCTACAGGTTGAAATTGTGCTGCACCTTGTGAGATCACRTTTCGTTTTCATTTTTGTCTCATGATCTGACAGCCCCAAACTGACRTATGGAGTCTCTTTCTTGTGAGTGAAACTTTCTGACCAAAACTWTTTTTCCCAGCTCATTTGTAAGAGGTTAACTGAACAGCTTCAATACTGGTAGAAAATTATTTTTCACTGCCTCAGGATCAGTGTGGATCAACAGATTTTTTTCTTACTTTAGCAAAGGTGGTGCAGGAGGGTTATTATTGCAGAAAAAATAACATTTAGATCTAATTTTATTTARATAATTTATCAATTCACTTGAATTAAGTGCTCTTTAGATAAATCATTTTGTTGGAGTCCTGAAAACTCCCAGGACTGACTCAAGTTGTGTTTTACATGTAGTCAGTTAATGATTAGGAGGTCCTGAAACTATTCACCACCACTCTGAAATTTCCAGTCCATTATAAAAACTCCAAACCAGTACGTGTGTGAATACAAAATCGGTGAGATGGACAGATGCAAATTGCTTTTAGCACTGCACATGCATGTTGYAAAACTATAGTGTACAAATAAGGAGGCAAAACATCTTATTTTTCTTACAGGGGCACCTGCCACCCCATAGAACCGCCACTGTAGTGGAGTTAATATAAAATTTGTGGTTAACCTTTAACAAACTCTATGACTAAATTTGATGCCTRATTTTACAAAGTGTCAGGAATTAATTGCTCAGTTCCTCAGTTAAGCACGTGCTTGTCTACCTGAAGCKTCTGTAAGGAAAACTGATGTTTGATGGTCGCGCGCTGCCCCRCCTCGGCAGCTCTTGGTGTCGCACGCGCCAACTGGGTTCAGCGCGCTCACGCGGGCCGGATGATGATAGGGCAGGTCACACAGCTGAGCGGATGAGCTCATGGTGGAGCCCGCCTGCCCGCACCGGGGACGGACGGTGATGGAGAGGCGCCTGCCCGGTGAGCTGGAGCTTCACGGTGAGCTGCGCGCCTGGACTTTGAGCGGGCGATGCGACCACATCTTTTTTTTTTTTTTTGGAAACACGCGGAAGTAGTGCGGTCAGTTTTGCGTGGCAGATTAATTATTATGTAAGGTACGGGCTGGAACTCATGTAGCCGTGCGCATATATGAGCAGGAAACTAATCCTTCATGCCGCCGTGGTCGTAGTAGGCTGTCCSAGAGCACCGTGTCCTGCGAGCTTCCCCTGTCCTTCATGGAGCTGAAAAAGTGTGTTGAACTTCACGAGCAGACCAGCTGGATAAAAAGCTGAGGTTTGGGACGGTGTGTCCACTTTTCTCTCCTCAGCAACAGCTGGCTGTCAACTGAAAACTAGACTAATTTTAAAGGGAGGCTGACAGTTTTTTTTTYMWT